CTCCTCCCTCCTCCTCCTCCTCCTCCTCCTCCTCCTCCTCCTCCTCCTCCTCCTCCTTGTCCCTCATGCGAAGCAAAGGGGCCGCCCAGGGCTCCGCCTCCGCAGCCGCTGGGAGCTTGTAGCATCGGCCCTGGCGAAGACCGCGGGAGCGGCCGGGGGCGGAGCGCGCAGCCCGCGTCCCTCCAGGATCGAAGACAAGGAGGAGGAGGAGGAACCGGAGGAGGAAGAGGAGGAGGAGGAGGAGGAGGAGGAGGAGGAGGAGGAGTAGGAGGAGGAGGAGGGAGGAGGAGTGAGGAGGGAGAGGAGGAGGAGGAGGAGGAGGAGGAGGAGAGGAGGAGGAGGAGGAGGAGGAGGAGGAGGAGCAGGAGGAGGAGGAGGGAGGAGGAGGAGGGAGGAGGAGGAGGAAGAGGAGGAGGAGGAGGAGGTGTTGGTACCCAGCATCTGGTCTAGTCTGCATTTGCAATCTGCTGAGAATTGACCGCTGTGTGCTTACATGGGGGCGATTCTTCTCGCGAAACTCGAAAGTCGGCTCTCCCGTCACGACTGGTTATCCAATCTGGGAACACCTTGGATAACCGTAGGGTCGAAAAGCCTCACGAAATCATCCCGAACAGTGCACGATGGCACTAGGTCCCGGTCCTGGGAGTGAGAGGACAAGCTACTCAGCTCGCACACACGCACACAAACACGGAGTGGAGCGAGTGAGAGGGAAAGCGAGAAAACGAGGACACAACTACACTACTCGCGAGGACACGGAGGGCAGAGGAAGCAGGAAGGCGGAGGAGGAGGAGGACGTGAGGTGATATGGCTGTGGACCTTCCAACGTGCTGAACACAATAGCCCTCCATACCCATAGACTTACCTCGCAGACTTAGAACCTCGACTGGGATCTCGATGCCGATGGCATCTGCCGGCCATCCTGGAAGGTCCGGGCAGGAGGGGGGGATCCAAGGACCCGGGGCGCTGGGGGTGTTTGGGGGGCCTCCGAAGCCCCGAGGGAGGATCCCCTGGAGGCGCGCACGAAGAGACGACGCCAGCGGGCCTCCCGAGACTGAGACGACGGGGGAACTGCGAGCTTCTTACGAGACGCACAGAGTCATACTGGTACTATGTGTTCTCCTTGGAGGCGCGCGTCCGACCCGAACATATATAATACCCATCTCGTAATAGATCGTTTCCCGAGCGGTGTGGCCAGAAAGCGCCCGCGGCGACACATGTACTATCATGTTTCTCGGTGCGCACGTCGCCCTTGGGGGGGCGACGCCCATATAATACAAGTATGTTGGGGTGACGCCGACTCTTAGCCAGAATGAAGGGGCCGCAGGACACACAAATAAATACACACAAATGAAAAGATTCCCCATATTTCCCCATATTTTCTGGGTTTCTGTCTTCCCCCCCACTTCCCATATGTTTGCATATTTTCCTGGGAGTCGACGATTAACTGTGTCTGTGTGTTTTCCCTCCTGACAGAAGCCCTCCCGGCTCGGCTCCCAAGGTCGAGACGGCGCCGAAGAACTTGGGGCGAGGAGAAACTTCGAGAGTCTCCGAGATCCGGCGACTCTGGAGCAGGCCTCGGGCGCCGCGGCCTCCTCGCAGCGTCCCGGCATGCTCGGAGGGTGTTCTCCCGGGAAGGCTCTGGAAGGGACTCATCCTCGCCCGCAGCCCCGTCCGAAAGGCGCCTGCCTCCGAGAAGCCTTCTTGAATCGGCGGTGGACAAACCTCCCTTTAGTAGACCTCCCCTCAGGGGATACGGCCTGGGACCGAAACCGACGGACCTGGACCCGCAAAAACGACGGCCGCGGCGCCCCCTCGCGAACCGAACACGGCCCATTCCTCGATCGACGTGTCAGGGTAGGAGGTCTGTCCACCCCCGATTGAAAGCCTCCGCACACCTGACTCGTATGGCGCTCTCAAGCCCGTGCATTTTCAGTACGCGTGTCAACGTTTCGCCCCTGCTGGGGCTCGTCAGGACTCGAATGAAAATGGCAGCGGCCGTTCAAAGAAGGCCCCGGCCTGCTCCGAAACGCTCCCCGCCTGCGCAGAACGGCCGCCCCCCTCGCGCCCCTCGTGCGCGCCACCGGCCCCTGGAGGAGCGCCCCCCAGGCATATGCGGCACCGGGGCCGGCCGGCCCGTGCCCAATTTTGGGCGGCTGGCTGCCGATCGGGGGCCTCCCTGAGCTCCGACGCCGCGAAAAAAGAGACACAGCGCCGCACACAGATCAAGACTGGAGCCCTGATTAGACCCCGCCTTTCTGCTGCACGCTGTCCAGCGGGATCGATCACTGGCCCCGGAGACCCAAACAACCAACGAGCACGCCTGGGGTGCAGAAAATGATACCAAACAGATCTCAGGGTCGGGACCGTCAATGGAGCAGGGGTCGACCGTCCCAGATGTCCTACAGTGCAGGCCTACCACGCAACTTCCGTAGACCAAAAAAATGCCTTCAGAGCAGCAACACCGTTCTTAGAACAGAGGGCAAATGTCTGCGTGAGGCGGCCGACAGGTCATTCCCTGTCCCTGGGCGCCTAGCTGAAGTGAGCTTATGCGGTGCGGATTGTCGTTGAAATTGCGGGTGGTGTTGTAAGTGGTGTTCTTGGTGGTGCTACAGTTGTTGTTGTTGTTGCTGCTGTTGATGTTGATGCGGCTGCTGCTGTTGTTGTTGCTGTTGGTGTTGCTGCTGCTGTTGTTGCTTCTGATGTTGTTGTTGGATGTTGTTGTTGATGATGTTGATGATGCTGCAATTGGTGTGGTTGTGGTTGTTGTTGTCGTTATTGTTGTTGTCGTTGGTGCTGTCGCTGTTGTTGTTGAAGTTGTTGGTCTTGGTGTTGTTGTTGCTGATGTCGTTGTTATCGTCGTCGTCTTCGTCGTCGACTTCGTCGTCGTCTTCGTCGTTGTCGTCGTCGTCGTCCCCCCCGCGACCCGGCCCGCGACCCACCCGCGACCCTTCCGCGACCCGGACGGCGACCACCCCGGGACCCACCCGCGAACCACCAGCGACCCAGCCGCGACCCACCCACATCGCTTTAAGGAAAAATCAGCGCCTGCGGCGGGCTCACTGCATCATCTGTGAAAGTTAGGCGCCTGCGGCGGGCTTCTTCAGAGCCTCGCAGACTGCCGACGTCCTCGCCGCCCCTCACTCTTATCCGCAACTGCGGATTGCAACGCAATAACTAAAACCAGACGCTCTCAGCCACAAGTGTTCTCAGAACATTTCGTGGAAAACAGAAGAGGTTCTTAGGACATTCTTCGGTGGCCCTATAGGCAAACCAAGACGCTTCGCCACTGCTTGAATCCACAGAACGACTCGGAATGAGCAGTCGGCCATGGGGAAGCGGCCAAAGAGTCTGAGGGCCCGCGCATCGAACCAAATCGAGGCGCCGGACGGCCAGGCTGAGAGCATTGTCGGAGGGCGCTCCAGGACGTGTCCGGAGGGTCCACTTTAGAGGGGAGGGCCGAACTTTGCGGCCCTTCCAAAAACGCCCCTGCCTTCTAAGAGGTTCCTCCGCCTTCTTAGAAGGCTGCCCCTCTGGAGCCACCCCTCTTGGAGCGCCGCCAACCAGACCCTCGGCGTCGCCAACAACCAGTACAACGGCTGGCTCTTTTGAAGGTTTGGCTTCCCCTGCAATCCTCGCGCCATTAAAACAAAAACGCGTTACGCAATTATCGGCCTCCGAGGGCCCTTGCCAAGCTCGAGGACAGTCGCAAAACGACTCAGGACAAAAAGTCCGCCCCGTGAAGCCATGACCTTCCTGGAGGAGTAACAAAAACAACACCAGGACCTCAACATCTAAACCTAGCGCGGATTCAAGAAATCCGCGCGGAGCGCCAAAAATGTATGTTTATGAACTTGATATTGTTTCGTCTTCGACGCGCGGCATCGCCCGAGCATCGGAACCGGATCAGATCGAGCGGGCCAAGCTTGAGCTCCAGTCGGATCGAACGGGTCGAAGCGCCATCCGCTTGGGCCGCGACATAGGGGGGGGGGCGATGAATGAGGGGGCGGCGAGGGCTGCAGAAAAGGGGCCCTCTAGGGCCCCTGAAGGGGCCCTTTCGGGCCCAGAAGGGGGCCTCTAGGGCCCCGAAAAGTGCACATTTTCTTCCCCCCCGTGTATCGCACCAAACCCCTATTCCAGTCGGGGCGTTGACCTGAGGAGCCCCAGATAAGGAACGAGGCCCCTTCCATCCATCAGCTAAACTTTGATCTTCCATCGAAAATCTGAGGAAGATCTATAGGCAAGCTGCAACACAAGTAAGGGACACCGAGCCCCTCCCGAACGAAATGAAAATGGTTCCTCCTTCGGCGCCCCGACTGTAAGCGACCTCTCCGCCCGAGATGGGCGAAAAGTGTCTGGGGACCCCCCTCCTTGGCGCGCGGAGCGCGCTAGGGGCCGCGCCGGACGCGCCGCCGGGGGGGCCCAGCGCGGATCCAAGAAATCCACGCGGAGCGCCAAAAGTTGATGTTTATTCCCCATATCCTAAGATGGGGTTCTTGTGATTGCTCGGACGCCGCCGACTCCGGAGAGAAGAGAGAACACACCTACTCATACTCATATTTACTCATACCCAGACCTACTCATACTCATTTCTTCTCAAGGTCTGACTTACTCAGGCCTACTCACACTCAGACTTACTCATGCTGGGACTCCTTCATACCCAGACCTACTCATACCCAGACTCGTTCCCAGACCTGCTCATACACAGACTCACTCATACTCAGACCTACCATATCCTAAGATGGGGTTCTTGTTCCCCATCTCCTAAGATGGGGTTATTGTTATTACTCGGACGCCGCCGACTCCAGAGAACCTGCTCATACACAGACTTATTCATACTCAGACCTACACATACTCAGACCTTCTCATAGTCTGAGTTACTCAACGCACGGACTGAGACTTAATTACTCATACTCAGACCTAGTTCATACTCAGACTCGCAAGGGGAGCCGCCAGGAGTGTTTTCACGGGCCAGTTCGCGGCCAGTTTGTGGGGATGTCTCA